AAAAGACATTTCCTACTCTAGAGCTCTTGTCATCTAAGTCAAACAGAAGTAAGGTAGACAACACACACTGGAAAGCCCAGATGAGGGAATAACTACAGTAGGGAGGTTTTTTTATTCTTATTATGTTATGTTTTATATTATGTACTCCTTGAGGGCATCCTGGAAGGCAAGGAGACTTTAGGAGACATATGAATGAAAAAGTAGTGGCTTGGCTTGACCTATGCACAAAGAGTTATTGGCCTCAATACACTTCTTAGGCTCACAGTCACGTGTCTCTATCACATAAATTGCCATCACAATTGGTATTAATTAGTATCTTTATTTCAATCTCATAGAGAAGCCAAAGATTTAGTGGTCATGGAGGCTGAAATTCCCCCGAAGAGATCTACGGGTTTCCTATTTGATGTATCGCAGTGTATTGTGCTATTGGGCCTGTATTTAAAAATGTAAGGACCCTGAAAGAGGTTGAGATTTTTGCTGACACAAGAGCATGGGTGAAAGTAACTTAAATAACGTACTGGTACGCAGGCCTGCCGGGGTCCTGAGCGAGGTGTGTGGGGGGGGCAGCTCTGGGCCCTGGAAGGGGTGGGGCTGGGGCCAAAATCCCCCAGGTGTGGTAGCAGCCGGGAGCCCCAGGCCCTTTAAATAGCCAGTGGAGCCCCGGGACCCTTTTAAATCGCCAGGCCCCAGGGCAGCTACCCCTTTTGCCCTCCCCTTCCTCCCCCCATCAATGGCCCTGCCAGTACGGTCAGCACTTTCTTGCCAGTACGCCGGACCGGACCAGTTTACTTTCACCTCTGCACAAGAGTATTTCTGAGGTTTATAACATATGGTAGAAAGTAAAAGAATAATTTCAGTGAAACAGAAATACCTAAAAGAACATGGGTGTAGTTTAGAAATAGTTTGACTATGTTAAATGATTTTAGTAATGCAGTGAGAAGCACAGTGTTCCTTCTTGTAAAGAAAAGATTAGGAAGGTGTCTTCAACATATTTTGGTCTCTTGCAGGGAGGCAGAATGCAGTGGAATTACATCAGGGATGAATTTGGCCCTGTATTTTTTAGAATGTGGTGACTCTCACTTCGTGTGGCTCTTCATATTATTTTTGTGACTATTGCATGTCACATTTGTCACCTGAGACTTACAGTAACATTTTCAAAAGCACCTAAGTCCTATTTTCAAAAGTGACTTAGGCAACTAAGTCCCATTAACTTTGAATGGGGTTTTAAAAATGTTACCATTAGTGATTTACTGCAAGAGGGGAAAGTGACTATTTACAGTGCTTCCAAAATAAACCTTAATTTTGTGCATATAAAAAGTTCAAGGCTAAGTTTTTACTCCCTGATCTCACTCGGAGCAATCACATTAGACTGCTTCACACCACACTAGACTTGCTTCACTCGTTCTTCCAGCTCCAGGTTGAGGGAAAATTAGAAAATCAAGGTTATTCTTAGTTCTAACATTTATAAAACTGTGAATGCACACAAAACAGGCTTTATGAAACAGGAATGAAACTGTAATACACATTTATGTATCCATTGTACATTCCGATCACTTTGAATTGGTGACACAATTTTCAAAAGCTTTCCGCATAGATCTAACTCTGCTCTTAATTAATTTCGGTGGGAATAAAGTTGGGCCAATGTTGAGTACTCTTTAAAAACCTTATGCTGAATATATATAGGGTAAAGTATTTGGAAGAATTCATTCAGTAAAATACTGTTATTTGTTCTTATCCAAACCTAATACTATAAAGAGTATTACCACAGACTATGTGTCTCAAGTGATATGCAGGGAGGAGATGTGTTTGACAATAGGACTGAACATTTATATAGAGGCTTCTCAGGACATGCTGGCCCCTTCTCACATTCTCTACTTACTGAGCTCTTGGGAGTCCGTGTAAGTATCAGGCTCTGAACTGAATTCTGAGATAGTTGCCCCAGTTCTGGAAGATGTTTAGAAACAGCATCTTGGTTTCCCTGGCAGTACTGTGAGATCACCCTTTCCTATTCTGTGTCACATGGATTGAGCTCTCTGCTGAACACTGTGCCTATTATAGAAGGTGTAAATAGGGGAGACAGACCACATGTGCCTTCTCAAGGACTTATAAAATCACTTGGATTTTTAGAAGAGTTATAACCATTAAAGGAGTAGATTTAATGAAAGAAATGTTACTAGTTATCCCAATACTGAATATGGGAAAGAGAACAGCAACCTATCTTGATGAAATGTTATACCATTTTTGCAATAAAAAGTGGAATCATTTTTTTTCTACACCATTTTGCCATGAATTATTTATGTTTAAGATCTATCAAGCCTCTTTTCTCCTGGCTTAAGTGATCACCTCTTATTTATTCTTCAGACAGGCAAAGAACTCCAAAATAAAATAAAATATATGGGGGTGAGTCACCAGGAGGAAACAATCTGACTACATTAAGCAAAAGATGTCACCCATATTTATATGGATTAACTCCTTGACACTGTCCATCTGAAATTCCTGAATAAAACTGGTGGTTCTTGATGCCAGGCTTTGCTCCAAATAAACCCACCAGCTTTGACAATATAAAATGCTGACATTTCTGTGTATCAGAATGAAGCATTTTCCCCTGGGCTGTGCCATAACCATTACAACTGATGAGGATAATGATGAAATCAGGACTGGAGGGTTTTAAAGTTCCTCATGGGCCAACATTTTTCCAAAGACAATAGTGTGATGCTGGTATTTAATTTAGTGAAGAACTTATTAGGGCCACAATTTACTTCTGTGCCAGGTGTGAATGGCTAGAAGTTGTGTTATGTGTTTGTTTCATTTCATATTTTTGGTGGCTGGACAAAAACAGGCCAGATTGTGGCTGGCACTTGTGTTGGGTGCACAAGGAAGTGGGGAAGGTGCCTGCACCTTAGATGGGCAGTATTACATGCTCCTAGCTACCAACAAGGTGTCATGGCTTGGTTGTGGGTGGCCAATCCTAGAAGTCAGAGCAGAGTCCGCAGTCTTGAGACAGGAGTCAAGAGTCGGCTGGGTCAGGATATTGGGAGGTCAGAGGCAGCAGACAGACAAACTGGTGGTCAAAAACCACAAGTCAGATGCCAGGAGATCAAGCTGGGTCAGAATCAGGAGTGCAAGTAGAGCGGTACCTTCCAGTATGCAGTACCAGCAAGAGATTTTTAGCAGGTATGGGGTACCGGGAAGACTTGGAGCTAGGCCCCCACTCCAGGGGTGGGGCTGCACTCTGCTCCTTAAAGGAACAGAATGCAGCTAGGGAGGGCATTCATTCTTTATCTGGCTTTAACAGCACAATACATGTGCTAACAAACTTAAACATAGGTTTTATTTAAGTTTGTTAGCATATGTATTGTGCTGTTACGTTGATCAGGAGTCCTCAAGGGGGGCGGAGGGAGGGAAGGTGTTTAAACAATGTTTTTGATTCTGTTTCTCCCCATTGGTATGAATTATCCATGACATCCATACTGCATCACATCAAGTCCAAATCATTAGAGGAATGCCTCTGCTTGCACTGACCAGAGGATGTTTGGATTCTGATGTCAGCCCAGTTCTGCAGCCTGATGGGAATCAGGTGTTGTCCCCAGTGTACATAGAATTCTTCTTTGCAGCCGAACTAGTCTAACATTCATTTTGTTAACTGGAACTGGAGCAGCAAAACAAAGAAAACAAGTGCCTCATTGTCCAGCTTTGTGGGTGAGAGAACTATAAGTGAAGATTATAATGCCGGACACTGATGGCCTTAAACCAGCTGCCTCAGGAATCTGAAAGAACTTTGCTGAAAATATGTTCCACATCTTAGCAACGGAGCTAAGACTTATCACACATCTGCCCACCTTTATTAAAATGAAGCTCCTTCTGATCTGACAGCTCAGGTATTGTCAGTGTCATCCAGAACAATTTACAAATTTGGAACCTAATCCTGTAAACCCTTAATCATTTGATCAATCCCATTGAAGACAATGGGACTATATGCATGATTATGGACCACTTTTGTGGACTGGTAAGAGTTTCAGGAGTCTGTTCCTATAAAGGAAGTTGAATCCCCCATTGAAATGCAATGTTTGGGTACAATACCATAGAGCAGTTTAGGATACAGTTCTATTTAAAATTTGTCTTTTAATAAGTCATACATATGCTGAAATGGCTCCTCACCCAACTCCCATATTCCATATAAACAGACTGAATACTACATATCTGGGGGGAACGTGAGTAGTTAAGCATGTTGATGTTTGTATATACAAAGGGGGGTGGTGGATGGGGAGAGCATGGGGGCCCTGGGCTGGGGCAGGGATGAGTCACATGGAGGGTCACATGGGGAGGTCACGTGCCCCCCCCCCCCTTGTGTCCCTCCCATGACTGCAGTACCAGCAAGAAATTATTTCTACTTGCACCACTGGTCAGAAGGCCAGGAGATCAATCAAGGGAAGCAGGAGCAGATATAGCTAGCAGGAAGCACAGGGGGCACAGTCTGGACCAAGATGAAACCCAGTTGTTCAGATGGCTTCCTGTTCCTGACGCTAGCTTATGTAGGGCCAGCAGGTCCATTAGCCACTCTGGGACTCCAACACTTGGACCTCAGGGGCGGAGCCTCACACTGGGGCTGGGCTTCATGGGTTTCAGGTAAGCTATTGCCAGCAGGCTGCCAGGTGGAGGGTTGGAGCATGTCTGCTCCCATGAACCTTGCAGGCCCTGGTTTGAGACCTGTGGGTTGTGACAAAAGGGATTGGTATGAAGAAGTAGTGATTCTCCTCTCCCTCCCCCCATTGCTGATCAGGTGTGGTAGAAGCATGCTGCACCATAGGAGGTGTATAGATGGTGTGCTAGGGTAGTCAGCACACTTCTTGGGGACTTGGGCAATATTGCATTCCCTCTGCACTGCTCTCCTTACAGTGGGAAGGGCAGTGCAATTTTTCTAGGCCATTCTATGTTCATATTTTCTTATCCAGCTATCTCAGTGTTACTATTTTATGGCAATTTTGTCTTCTTGATTTTAGATGAAGATCTTTGACAAAAATAAAGATGGACGATTGGATCTGAATGACCTGGCAAGGTATTTTTTAATGGTACTGTTATGGTTTAGCAGCTTCTAGTGGCAGACCTGGGCAAGCTGATGGTTTATACTGCGGAGGCCTGAGTTTGAATTCTTCCTACGTTTCAAGTGAAATCAGGCTGTCTAGGTGTTTCTACAGCATGGCCCCGTTACTACAGCATCCACGTGCTTGCTGCATTAGAGCTCTAGGGAATGCCAGGATTTGCCTCCCCCTCACTAAAATGCCCTAGAATACTTTGTACTGGCTGAAGAGATGCTTCAAAGGAGGTAACAGGGCAGCTGATGGAAAGTATTAGAAGGTTCTGGACTGTGTGTATAGAGGTGCAGTCAAGGCATTACTGAATATATAGAGAGAGGTGCCTTGACCTTGCCTCTATGCATATAGATATATATAAAGTGGCCCCCTTGTAACATGCATACTTAAAGCTGTCTCTTAATGAGGAGAAAATATATTCAGCCATGCCTTGACTATGCCTCTATACACACAGTCCAGAATCTTTTAATACTTTCCCTCAGCTGCCATGTTACCTCCTTTGAAGCACCTTCTTGGCCACAACAAAGTGTGTGTGGGTGTGTATTCAGTTGTGCCTTTACCTCACCTTTGTCCATGCACCCCAGAATCCTTTAATACTTGCCATTAACATTTAGCTGAGAATAATAACCCAGAATCCTTTAATACTTTACTTTCTGAGACACACATTGAGAGAGAGAATGAAAAATACCATAGGAAGGCCATTATTCCAGCTTCCTCTTAGATATGACTCTGTAAGTGGTCTGCTTATAACACATATGCTAGCTGACTCTTAGTAAAATGAATTTAGTAGATTCCCTCCAGCTCAGAGTGAACATTTGTCATTTGTCACATCACAAAACCTCAGTGAGGGCACAATTTGACATGACTGGCATTCTGTGCTCAGGGGAAACCCAGAGCTGGAATAGTTGCTCGAAAGAAGGGCTTTTAATAGTGCTTTAAGGGGAAATTTGTACATTGTTAGTGCTCAAGACAGTATTATTTTGTCCTTTTTTCACAACCAGGGAATTCATCCATGAGAAGATCTCTCTCTCTCTCTCTTTTTCATATATATATTCCACTGATTCCACTTTAAAGAGAGAAAGAGAATTTCCTTTAATTCAGCACAGCAATCCAGTTACAGAGGAGTAACTGGACAATACCTCTTGCTTTTAAGGCTAACCGCCTCCACTGGTCCTAGCACTGGAAATGTTCTGTAAGCATAGGCACCAACTTCTCCTGGTGCCAGTGGGTGCTCAACCCCCCAGCACCACACCAACTCCACCCCTGACCCGCCCCCTCCCTTCCCTGACCCGCCTCGCCTCCATTCCAACCCCTTCCCCAAAGTCCCCGCTCCAACTCCACCCCCTCCCTGCCCCTATTGGACTCCTTCCCCAAATCCCTGCCCCAGCCCCACCTCTTCCCCACCTCCTCCCTAAGTGTGCCACATTCCTGCTCCTCCCTCCCACAGCTTATTATGCAGCGAAACAGCTGCTTTGTGGCAGCAAGCGCTGGGAGCTAGGGGGAGAAGTGGGGACGCGGCATGCTCAGGGGAGGAGGCAGAGGTAGAGGTCAGCTGGGGTGGGGGAGGGGAGTTTGGTTGCCAGTGGGTGCAGAGCACCCACCAATTTTTCCCTCTGCGTGCTCCAGCCCTGGAGTCGGTGCCTATGTCTGTAAGGGTCATTAACATAAAGGAGTCCATTTTCAGAACAGTGAGCCATGGGATTCATACTACAACTCCCCACAAACAGAGAGGGATTTATGGTTACATCACCCACAGATCTCTCGGAAAGTATCTCCTTCTTAAGACCGCTGTAACCTACAATCTTCTTGCCTTCTGGACAAGTAGAACTAATACAATAACCAAAAAGATCATAATTTAGATCTCTCCTTTTAGGATTTTGGCACTCCAGGAAAATTTCCTCCTTCAATTTAAAATGGATGTAAGTAGCACTATTTTCTAATGAATTTGTTCTACTTTTTTCCGCTGAGATAACGCAGCCCTAGCCTCAACCCATTATCATTTTTTCCCCTGCACTCAGGCTTGTAGTAAAGAAGAAAGGAAGAACGATTTTGAGAAAATCTTTGCACACTACGATGTTGTGAGTTTTGTGGGGTGTTTTATTCTACTGCAGTTTAAGTGGCACATCTGGACTTGGACTCGCATTCATTCCCATGCAATGTAGCATTGGGTGATGCTGTATTGTTAGGGGTCTCTTTCCTCAGGGGAAGCAGTGTTTATAGAATCACAGAAGCAGTGCTGGCCTTAGCTCTGTGTCCGTCAAACAGTTTTTCACCACATGCATGCCTCACCCTATCAACCAGAATGCCACCTTCAAAACCCCATTCATAGCTCTTTTGACTGCAGGACCAGTGGGGCACACCAGAGACTGAATTCCCTAATTGTCCTATATCACTTGGAAAGCGGCACGTCAGTGCCATTTCCTGCCTTCACAGGACTTGTAGGGTAGTCACCAAAGAGCCTCACAAACAGCTGAGGGAAGATGTCATCACAGTTTATGGGGAGAGGAGAAATCACAGGCGATGGTTTGGAGGATAGGATTTTACAGATACATGGCGTTTGGGGGGACCTGATGGGTAGAAAATATTACTATATTTCTGACTTGGTGAAATGCCTTTAATGTTTCCTCTGTCTTTCAGAGTAAAACAGGAGAACTGGAAGGTCCAGAAGTGGATGGGTTTGTCAAAGATATGATGGAGCTTGTCAAGGTGGCTTCAGGATTCTTTGCATTTATTGTTTCCCATATTTTTCATAGGAATGATATGTTCCTGATTTGCACAAACCTTTGAAAATCTGGAATCAAATTTCATCATAAGAAGAAATTAATTTCATGGTCTCCACATGAACACTGTTGGACATTTGTCCATGTCACACTAACACTGTCAGACACACAGTCTGGTATAATTCAAAATGACCAGCAATTTCTTCTTAATATAGGCCTAAGATAGTTTATGTTCTAAATTACACAGACAATGCAGTTCAACAAACACTAGTTGAAGGTTCAGTCTCTGACTGGTACATATACACACTTTTTTCTTTGGTCAAATTCATGTAGGATTCAATGATTGAAGGGCACTGATTTAGCTGTCAGGGGTAAAGGGGAAAAAGGGGAATCTTGCATGGACAGTACTTGGGTCTGTCTTTTCTTATCAGTTCCATTATGAGTGCAAAGGAGTCCAATCCTATGAGGTGCTGAATGCTCAGTTCCCAGTGAAGTCATAAGTAGAGTGAGTGAATAATTGATTTTTTGATTTGGTGAACAAACCAAAAAATCTGGGGGATAAAAGTGGTTAGTTTCAAACTGAAACTGAATTTTTTCAGTTTTTTTTGCAGAAACAATAAAATGAAAATATTTTGTTTGGGTCACACAGAATGTTTCAAATGGTGATTTGAAATGATATTCGCTCCAGGTAAGACTGAGGTGATGGTAGTAGGCGGGTGGAACAACCAGAGGAAATGGCGGAGATTGCATCACTTCCTTCAATTACAAGGTTTTACCCACCTTTTATTACTGTGGTTCACAGTACGGGGGGGGGGGGGGAAGTGTTAATCAAGTCTTCAGGTGTTATTGGATGTGCAGATAGCAACTCTGGCCAAGACCTTGTCTACACTAAAAAGGGTTTGCTATATAGCTATCCTGGCAAACTGTTGTAGTGGGGACACAGCTTATACCAGCTAAAGAGAGCACTTATTTCTGGTGTAACTGCATCTACACTAGAGCTTTTGCAGACATGTCTGTGTTAGTTAGGGGAGTGATTTTTTTTTCACTCTCCTAACCAACATAGCTATACCAGAAAAACTTAAGTGTAGCGGAGATTCAGAGATCCTTTTTCCATTTGTGCTTGGCAGGAAAGTTGTAATCTTTTCTTTGGATGTGGCCCTGGCCATAATTGTCCATGTCTTTGCTATCTCCATATTGAATTAGTACATATGTGTTCTGCATAGAGCTACACCTGAAAATCATCTGGACTCTCCAGCTAGTGCAGGCAACGCCCTGCCTGTTTACTGGTGCTTCTCACAGCCAGGAGACTATAACTGCACTGTATTCCATTTAGTTTCCAGGTGCAATTTGAACTTTTGATTTTGACCAACATAGTTTCAACCTTCAACCTTACAGTATGTCTAGACTGCAAAAAAACCCACGGCAGCAAGTCTCAGAGCCCAGGTAGGCTGACTTGGGTTCATGCTATGGAGCTAAAAATAGCACTGTAAATGTTTGGGCTCAGGCTGGAGCCCAGGCTCTGAGACTTGACAAGGCAGGAGGGTCTTGGAGCCCAGGCTCCAGCCCAAGCCCAAACGTCTACACTGCTATTTTTAGCCCTGTAGCACGAGTCCCACAAGCCCAAGTCAGTTGTCCTGGACTCTGAGACTCGTTGTGCAGATGGACCCTTAGAGGCTTCCCATGTGAAACTGCATTTGAGATATGCTGCGGCTAAGAGCTACCCCAGTTTAGAATCATCATCAGAGTTTGAACCTTCAGCACTGCAGCACAGACTGCTCCTACTTGAGCTACAGGGCTAACTGTATTAGCTGGCAGCAAGGGAAGGTTGTTTGAGAGTGGTTGGGGGGAAGTTCAGCCTGGCCTGGTGCTCTCTGTGTTTTCCACCCCTGGAGTTTGGAGAACTCCTGTCCTATGTGTCGCCCCCAGAGGTGTGAATGGCTTTTGGAGCCATATGCTGGGTTTTGGTGGATGGTTGAAGGAAGCCCTGTCTGTCTGTCTCTCTCTTCCCTCCCAGGAGTTGGGGGAGCTCCTGACCCATGTGGTAAACCCAAGGGAAAGGATGTAAATGAACCACTGGGGCCATTCTGATCTGGGGCAGGGGGTTGGGGTGCGGGAGGGTGTGCGAGGTGTAGGATCCATCTGGGAGGCGCTTGCCACAGACGGCTCCCGGCCAGTGGCGCAGCAAGGCTCAGGCTCCCTGCCTGTGTGCCATAGCCTCAAGATGCTCCTGCTGGCAGCTGGCTGCTAGCGCGTCTCTGTGGCCCCTCGGGGGGGGGAAGGGGGACAGCATGTCTCTGTGTGCTGCCCGCACCCACAAGCGATGCACCCGTTGCTCCCGGCCAATGGGAGCTGCAGTGACAGTGCTGGGGGCGGGTGCAGTGCACGGAGCTGCCTTCCCTCCCCACACCAGGGGCCACAGAGACATGCTAGCAGCTGGCCACTTCCAGGAATGGCGTGGGCCACGGCATGCAAGCAGCCTGCCTGAGCCCCGCTGTGCCGCGGGACTTTTAGTGGCCCGGAGTTGGAGATCATTGCCTGTGATTTATTTTTGCAGGGTCCCCCTTGAGCCGGGGCCCTGGGCTGTAGCCCCTAAAGTCCCTGCCTTAATCCTGCCCTGGGACTAATAACTGTAGTCTGTAACCTATCATTTAAATCAGCTTCTGTACCAAATTACTAGAGGATAGCTAATGTGATGCTAATTTTTAAAAAGGGCTCCAGAGGTGACCCCGGCAATTACAGGTCGGTAAGCCTGACTTCAGTACCGGGCTACTGGTTGAAACTATAGTAAAGAACAAAATTGTCAGACACATAGATTAACATAATTTGTTGGGGAAGAGTCAACATGGTTTTTGTAAAGGGAAATCATGCCTCATCAATCTACTAGAATTCTTTGAGGGGTTCAACAAGCATGTGGACAAGGGGGATCCAGTGGATAGAGTGTATTTAGATTTTCAGAAAGCCTTTGACAAGGTCCCTCACCAAAGGCTCTTAAGCAAAGTAAGCAGTCATGGGATAAGAGGGAAGGTTCTCTCATGGATTGGTAACTGGTTAAAAGATAGGAAACAAATGGAGAGAGGTAAATAGTGGTATCTCCCAGGGGTCTGTACTGGGCCCAGTCCTATTTAACATATTCATAAATGATCTGGAAAAAGGTAAGGTGGCAAAATTTGCAGATGATACAAAACTACTCAAGATAGTTAAGTCCCAAGCAGACTGTGAAGAGCTGCAAAAGGATCTCACAAAACTGGGTGACTGGGCAACAAAATGGCAGATGAAATTTAATGTTGATGAATGCAAAGTAATGCACATTGGAAAACATAATCCTAACTATAGATGTACAATGATGGGGTCTAAATTAGCTATTACCACTCAAGAAAGAGATCTGGGAGTCATTGTGGATAGTTCTCTGAAATCATCCACTCAATGTGCAGCAGCAGTCAAAAAAATGAACAGAATGTTGGGAGTCATCAAGAAAGGGATAGATAATAAGAAAGAAAATATCATATTGCCTCTCTATAATTCCAAGGTACGTCCACACCTGGAATACTGCATGCAGATGTGGTCGCCCCATCTCAAAAAAGATATATTGGAATTGGAAAAGGTTCAGAAAAGGGCAACAAAAATGATTAAGGGTATAGAATTGCTTCCGTATGAGGAGAGATTAGTAAGACTGGGACTTTTCAGCTTGGAAAAAAGGTGACTAAGGGGGGATATGATGGAGGTCTATAAAATCATGAGTGGTATAGAGAAAGTAAATAAGGAAGTGTTATTTACTCCTTCTCATAACACAAGAACTAGGGGCCACCAAATGAAATAGTAGGCAGCAGGTTTAAAACAAACCAAAGGAAGTATTTCTTCACACAATGCATTGTCAACCTATGGAACTCCAGAGGATGTTGTGAAGGCCAAGACTATAACAGGGTTCAAAAAGACCTAGATAAATTCATGGAGGATAGGTCCATCAATGGCTATTAGCCAGATGGGCAGGGATGGTGTCCCTAGCCACTGTTTGCCAGAAGCTGGGAATGGGTGACAGGGGATGGATCACTTGATGATTACCGGTTCTGTTCATTCCCTCTGGGGCACCTGCCATTGGCCACTGTCAGAAGACAGGATACTGGGCTAGATGGACTTTTGGTCTGACCAGTATGGCCGTTCTTACTTTTTTATCACTCACTTATGCTCTGGGCCAAATTCAGAAATTATGTTAGACTTCCTTATTTAGACTCCCTTAAATCTAATTAAACCCACTGCACCTATGTAGAGCCACAAGATCCCTCATCCTTCTCTCCATTTCATTTGTATCCCCCCCCCCCTCAATGTGTTTCATGTGCTTCAGTCATTCTGCAATTCCCATTGACACATGTTGTTAGAAAAATGACTGAGAGATTTTCTCTCCCAACAATGATTCTTTCTTTTGTCTCCAGCCCAGCATTAGTGGTGTGGACCTGGATAAGTTCCGTCAGATTCTGCTCCATCACTGTGATGTGAACAAAGATGGAAAAATTCAAAAATCTGAATTAGCCTTGTGTCTTGGGCTTAAAATGAACCCATAGATTTGAATGCGCTTCACCTATTGTTTGCAATGTTTTCTTTGTAAGAACTTGCTGCTGCCGGTAGAACTCTTTCAGTGCTGTGTTAACAATCTGTGTGATAGTGCTGAACGTGGAAGATATAGGCACCTCACTGCTGTAATGAAAGTGCATTTGCACCAGGATGCCACAGAGTGGAGAATGCATGAAGGGCCTTTCAATTCAATAACTAGATTCACATTGTTCAGTAGAAGAAATTACGTGTGGGGCCTCTGTATTTTTTATAAATAATGTCCATATCCACAGACATACCAGTTTATCAAAAATGGGGGATGTCGTTCCATTACTTCCTTCATAAAATACTGCCACAATCAGTTCTTTGGCGTAGGATGAGTCTTTCCTTAAAATTGTAAGATTAGTGCTCTCATACTGTAGCTGCTTTCATTGCCTGATTTTTATGATGACTGCCTTCTATGTGAAGTAACTATATTTCTAAACATGAGCATTGTGCTTTACTTGTGCGTACAGCATTATAATATTTGATGGATTGCAGTTTATTTGTGCAAGAATAAAAACAGCAATTAAGGAAATACAGTAAGATTGGTGCTTATGCATTATTTATGGACAGCCATACAGCACAGTTCGATAGTCATGCTATACTATGTATATTCTAGCTGTCATCTCACTGTATTTATACAGAGCACATTAAGTGTTAAGATTCACATTGTTCAGTAGAAGAAATTACCGGTGGGGCCTGTGCATTTTTTATAAACAATGTCCATATCCACACACCTACCAATTGATCAAAAATGGGGAACACCATTCCATTACTGCCTTCATAAAATACTGCCACCATCTGCGCTCTAGAGTAGAATGAGCCCTAGTGGATTTGTCAAGCCTTGGCTTTACATATGCCAGGCTACAGAGTACAGTGGAAACTTCTCACAGAGAAATCACTTACTGCACAAAATGATTTCACTCTGGGCTAAATCCTTCTTTTGACACAAATCTAAGTAAAATGGCTTCGTGCAGCGTTTCCCATTAGGGAGACTAAGGCTCAGAGTCGGCAAAGCACTTGCTCAACTTTAACTTTATTTCTTTTAAATCAGTGGGTCTTAACCACATGTTTACATGCTTTGCTGAACTAGGAACTAAATCCCTCCCTCCATGGCCTCCATGACACTATTGGAGCCTCAGTCCCGTAGCATCTGCTGCACTCTGTGATCTTCCATTTCAGGGTAACCAACCAGTGGATACATGTAGTCAGCGACCCACTGGCCACACCCACAATGCACTGTCTACTCTCCCTTCGAATAATCCCCTCTTTATTTACAAAGAGAAACCAGCTGAGGAGACATGTTCAGTAGAACCTCAGTAGTTCTGTTGCACCGAGGATCTGCCATATCCATGGAGGCAAGATTTCCCCCGTAAGTGGAAGTTCACTAGATCTACAATGCACTTTGCACATTGCAAAGCACTGAAATAATCTGATTCTATTTCATCATATAATATTTACAGAAAATGACCTTTAATAAGTCGACGTTAAGTCCTATTGATTTCAATGGGACTACTCATATGCTTCAGTACTTTGCTGAACAGGGATGTGTTTATTCGTGTCCTTCAGTGTTTTGCTAGATCAGGGCCTTAACTCTCAAAACTGATTGTTGTCATTCTGACAACAACACGGAAGCACAACAATAATAACTGAGTTTTCACAGTGTTTCATGGAAGGCAGTAAACAAGCAATCATGCCTTACGCGTACAGAGATGCACTGTTATCCACATACACATTCATTCATCTGAGGAACAAGCTGTGCTCATGTTGCATGACAACAGACAGAAAGCTCAATAGCTAAGAAAACTATAAACGTGCTATACACGGGGACGTCCCTACCCATGTGCAAAGTACGCAGTTGCGTAGGGCACCAGGAAATTTGGGGCACCACATTTCCTGGTGCCCTACGCAGCTGCGTAGTGCTCCAGCCCCTGCTCTGCCTCTTCCCCATGGCCCCCGCCCCTGCTCTGCCCCAGCCCCGCCCCCACTCTCCTGAGAACATGGTAAGTGGAGCGACCCATCCCCATCCTGCTCCGCTCCCCTGGTTCCCAGCCGCGCCGCCAGCGAGTGCTGGGTGGCGGTTCCTTCCTCCCCCCAAGGCTGGGAGCCAGGGAAACAGAGTGGAGCAGGCTAGGGCTGGTTTCCCTCCAGACTCCCCCCCACAGAGGCTTGGGGCCCCACACAACCCCCCCATGGGGGGGCTGCGTAGGGCACGAAATTGGCTAGGGACGGCCCTGGCTATATATGATATGTAAGTTATCGTAGTCTTTAATAATTTTCTACAAAACATAATACAGGACATAACCAACCACAGTTCCATCATATTTCCAAGGGGAAAAGGTTCATCAACCAAAATAATGATCCCTTTCCTTTCACCCTCTCCTGCCTCTTTGTCTTTCTGGCTGTCTTTCTATTATCATGTATTGTATTGCTTTCTTAATCTAGTTTTCCATTACTTTGATATCAGAGATAATTCTGCACCATGATATTGCACTATTTTATATGGTTAAACACCAGCTCTATGATGCTGTTGACATGTTTATATGCTAGGAGGCTAATTCTGATCATATACCAGTTTAACTCCACTGACATTACTCCTGATTTACACTGGTATAAATGGGTTTAAAAAGACGCTGTTAAAAAAAATTCTGAAACAAGTGGTATTGACTAACCTTAAAGTTACAGTGACTTTACAAGACCAGTTTATAAAGACCTCAACAAAGAAACATAGCTGAAAAAAAAGCTAATTTAGCAGCACCCCTGAGTCATCTCTAAATGTGAGTAGTTCAGTATCCTTGCAGGCTCTGGTGGGCTATTTATTGACTATGTCCTACTAGGTCCTATTATTGCAGTGAAAACCCTCTGATACAAGAGAATGTGAAAAGGTGGGATTTTTTTCTTTTTTTATAGAGGTCCACCTTGCTGATTACACATTTTCTACTGTAAAATTTCTTTTTCTTCAAATGGCTGTTAGTTGCTAAGCGGATCTACGGTGACAGCTATATTTCTCTTCAAATAAAAGTATTTCTTGTCTTATTGATTTTATTCTGGGAGCAGAAAAGCGTTTTTATGACTTTTTAAAATGTTTTCAGCACATGAAATTGGGGAGAGAAAGGGTGTCTACACTGTAATGTAAGCCCAGTATTTGAACTCAGGATCAAGTTTAACCCCCCGCTTCTGTCCACATATAAATTGCAGTAACCCAAGGCTTGGACCTAGGGTCTGAGGATCCCACAGGAGGTGGAGGGTCTGGGCTGGAATCAAGCCAGGACCCAGGCTTCAAGCCCTGTTTCTTCGTAGTGTTTAGATGCAGTCCCACTGGACTTGTGCTCGGGGAGTTGGCCAAACGTATTCCACAATCCCATGGGCCGACTTTCTGTCCTCTGGATAGTCAAGTTTTCCTACACTGCACCACAAACAAAGGGATAGAGCAGACACTTTTTGGGAAGGTGCTAGGAAGTCTGGGATATGGGTGGTTGGACTCGGAACCACATAATGCACCGTAGATATTGGAGCCCCAGGTTGGGTCCTAGGGTTCAACAATTCTTAACCTGGTGTTATAAAGAATGTAGATGCTCAAACCCTAGGTTAACAAACCCAGGGTCTGCTAACGCGAGTTCTACTAACCCTGGGTTTACAGTGCAGTGTAGACATACCCAAAGAAGGTGCTGCATAAAGGTCTGATCCAAATTGCTTTGAAGTTAATATAAAGCTTCCCATTGACTTTCAGTGAGCTTTGGATCAAATCCTAGAAGCTAGGATAGAAAGATTTAGAGACAGTGGGAGTTTTCCATTGAATTCAATTGAGGCCAGGAATCCTCCCTTTAATTCTTTTGGGTAAATAAACAGTCTTGCTCCTGGGTCATAAGGGTTTGAGATGCACATAGGAAATGTGGTTAGAGACTGTGATAGGTTTGGGCTTTTTGATTGCACAAGCACCAAGTAAAATAAAACTGAAACGCTACAGACATTTCCTGCTTGTTTGTTGTTTGTTCACTCTGGGCCTTGTGGGGAGTTTCTTGCTAGCTGCACAGACACTGACTCTGCTTCACAGTACAACTGAGAAATACAGACTTTAGTGTTATATCTGGATCCAGCAGAGAAGGAGACTATGGCCTGGTCTACATTATGAGTTTAGGTCGAATTTAGCAGCATTAAATCGAACTAACCCTGCACCCGTCCACACAACAAAGCCATTTACTTCGACATAAAGGGCTCTTAAAATCGATTTCTGTACTCCACTCTGACGAGGGGAGTAGCGCTGAAATTGACATTGCCAGTTCGAATTAAGGTTAGTGTGGACGAAATTCGACAGTATTGGCTCCGGGAGCTATCCCACAGTGCACCATTGTGACCACTCTGGACAGCAATCTGAACTCAGATGCACTAGCCAGGTAGACAGGAAAAGCCCCGCGAACTTTTGAATTTCATTTCCTGTTTGCCCAGCGTGGAGAGCATAGGTGACCACTCAGAGCTCATCAGCACAGGTAACCATGCAGTCCGAGAATCGAAAAAGAGCACCAGCATGGACCGTATGGGAGGTACTGGATCTGATCGCTATATGGGGAGAGGATTCAGTGCTAGCAGAACTACGTTCCAAAAGACGAAATGCCAAAACATTTGAAAAAATCACCAAGGGCATGATGGAGAGAGGCCACAATAGGGACTCATATCAGTGCCGCGTGAAAGTTAAGGAGCTCAGACAAGCCTACCAGAAAACCAAAGAAGCAAACGGAAGGTCTGGGTCAGAGCCGCAGACATACCGCTTCTACGCTGAGCTGCATGCAATTCTAGGGGGGGGCCGCCACCACTACACCACCCCTGACCATGGATTCCGAGGAGGGGGTAATCTCAGCCATGCCGGAGGATTCTGCGGGCGGGGAAGATGAGGAGGAGGACAAGCTTGCGGAGAGCTCACAGCACTCCGTTCTCCCCAACAGCCAGGATCTTTTTCTCAGCCTGACTGAAGTACCCTCCCAACCCTCCCAAGGCGGTATCCCAGACCATGAAGTCATGGAAGGGAATTCTGGTGAGTGTACCTTTGTAAATATAAAACATGGTTTAAAAGCAAGTGTTTTTTAATGATTAATTTGACCTGAGGACTTGGGATGCATTCGCAGCCAGTACAGCTACTGGAAAAGTCTGTTAATGTGTCTGGGGACGGAGCAGAAATCCTCCAGGGACATCTCCATGAAGCTCTCCTGGAGGTACTCCAAAAGCCTTTGCAGAAGGTTTCTGGGCAGTGCAGCCTTAATCCGTCCTCCATGATAAGACACTTGACCGCGCCATGCTTGCAGCAAGTAATCTGGTATCATTGCATGACAAAGCCTGGCAGCGTATGGTCCCGGTGTTTGCTGGCATTCAAGCAACATCCATTCTTTATCTTGCTGTGTTATCCTCAGGAGAGTGATATCGCTCATGGTAACCTGGTTGAAATACGGGAATTTAATTAAGGGGACAGAGGTGGCCATTCCTACTGGGCTGTTTGCCTGTGGCTGAAAAGAAAACCTTCCCTGCAGTTAGCCAAGTGGTGGGGGCG